AGACACACCCTTTAGCACACGGTTTTGGGCTCTGCAAATGTGGGACAACTTCAGCTCCAGGAGCAGGGTGGACACACGTCCCAGGGAGACAGTCTCCCCCTTCCCTTCTCCCCTCCCAGCCCAGCCCCACCCCGTCCTTTGTGCTGGAAGGGGAAGTGGGGCTTTCAAACTGAGGATCGCAAAACCAATTCAGCGAGTAACAATTAGTAATTTTTTAAGTAGCAAAATACAGAATAGAGAACATTAAGAGTACAATACAAAATAAAACTTGTCCCAAAGCTGGTCTGGGGAAAGTTGTTTTTTTTTTTTAAATCTGATGTAATTCAGTCTCCTCTAGGTAAAAAAAACAAAAAGCATTCATGATTAAATGCTTAAGAAGCCCTACCTGGTGTTGCTCAGAGGATTGAGTACCGGCCCTTGAACCAGAGGGTCGCTGGTCTGATTCTAGAGGCAGCCACACATTGATGTTTCTCTCCCTCCCTTCCCCCGTCTCTAAAAATAAATAAGTAAAATCTTAAAAAAAATAAATAAATGATTAAACAATTTTTAGATAAACCTTCATGGCATGAAGAGTTTTTCTGGGAAACTGGGTACCCACCCAACAACCCACCAGCTATGTTCAGTCAGGAGCCCAGTTGCCTCCGGTGGAACAGTGCCTCTCTGAGAGGTTTTTCCTATCAAATGGCCCTTCCAAGGGGAACCGCTGAACTGACCCACCAGGGGCCTTTTCCTTTGCAGGCAAGATTGCGGCAAGACGTTTCCATGAACTCATAACTCATGGCACAACCAGGTGTTCTTCAGCAGCACGCAGTTAGAGTAGGTATGCTTCAGGAGATTGTTTCGGTAAAGCCTCATCAGCCATCAGCAGGTGCAGCCTCTGGGGTTATCACAAGGTGCCTGCCAGCCACCAGAGGGAGGAGGGAAGCCATTTTTGTCCAGTTTGAGTTCTGGAGGATTCTGAGGAGGGTCTCCAGGAAACAAGGATCTGCGGTCCCTCTCTGAGCAGGGCTGAGAGGCAGCCTGGGGATTGACTAGGGATTGGGCGCTGTCACGAGGCAAGGGGTTTAGCGTTGGGGCATCTCACTAATAGTTAGGAGTTGCAAAGCCTCTCTGGGGGTATCTCTGGTAAGAAAACAGCAGTCGCTACGAGAGGGGACCGCCGTCACAACCAAAGACAACAGCCGCCGCATGGACCGCAGGAGAAGAAAGCAGGTGTCCTGCCAGCTTTGCAGCGGGCTTCATCTGCATCTTACCTCCCAGCCTATTGACTGACTGCAGGCTGTTTTCATGTTTTGGTCCAAGCTAATTTTTAAAATAACTTTTATTGATTGATTAACTTGAGAGATTGGTTGTTGTTCCACTTATTTATGCATTCATTGATTCTTGCGTGTGCCCTGACTGGGATCGAACCCACCACCTTGGTGGATTGGGATGACGCTCTAACCAACTGAGCTACCTGGCCAGGGCCTCAGCCTAAGCTGACTTTTACACTTTCAGTCCCAAACAGGTTTTTACTCTTTCAGTTGCACGTATAAATATACATTCATGTATATTGGGTCTTGATAGAAAATGCATTTCTTATGGAAGGTCAAGGTTAGGGGGAAACAAAAAAGGGAAGCCACCGTCTGGTAAACTGCCCCCCAACCTTTTTGATGTCTTGGCACACAAAGAAATGATGATTATTTGTTCAGCACAAATGATATTCGTTCTGCTCACCGGGGCAAATAGATGGAGCTTCTTGGGGGTCAAGAGGGTCCAGGGCCCTCTCACCTTGGACACCACCTGGCTGTCCTGGGGTAAAGAGGAGCGTATATCTCTGGCATGGCCACACCCCTACTTAGCACGCTGCTCGGGATGCCTGGGTCTGGCAAATAGGAGCGATTACAGCTCAACAAAAAGGGATCGTTTGGGGAAACAGACAGAGCCTGTGTGGACTAGAAGGCAGGAGGAGTCTGGGTTCTGAGCCTGCGCCCAGGCGGCGACATTTGCCGCAGACTTGGTTCAGCCATCAACTGCCCTTGAGCCATTCTGCGTGGGTACCGGAAACCACTGGGCCCTTCAACGGCCCGGGAGCGGCCCTAACCATGTGTTTTTCACAAAACTTGCAAAAGTTGGACATTTAGGCGGTAATCAGTTAGGCTTGCTCTCTCTCTCCTGACTTCCTCTTTATCGCATTTCCCTTCCTGTCGGGAGACCTCAGTGTGGCCGCAGCACTGTGTATTCACTATTGTGTGTTTTAGTTTGTGGACCCGGAGGAAGAAGATACCTACTAAAAAGGGCTCCAGGTGGCTAACTGGGGTCAAATTGAAAAACAAACAAAAACCAAAGCCTAGTAGTCATTTCTATACACAAACTGCACTTTAGGAAGGAGCCCGCACTGAACCACCCGCCTGCCTTGTGTTCCTGCCCTCTGAGCCAGCCCTTAAAGCCCGGTCCTGGAATTGTTTTTCTACCAATAGGACTGAGGCTTTCTCCATCCAATTGGAACTGCACAGCTATAGCCACAGCAGAGCAGCTCCATTCTGGCCAATCAGGACAGTGCCTTTTGGACCAATCAAACTCCAAGGATTTGGAGTCCTCATTTGCATGAGATGGACCAATTAGGGAACAGGGACAGGAACTTCGCCTTCCTGAGTCAGGTCCCCTGGCTGGAACTGAAACTCGGAATGTTCATGTGGGAGCAGGCCAGCATGGCCCGGAGCAGACCAACGCGGGGCTGGCTAGCCGAAGAGGAGGCTGACCCCGGGGTCAGCTGTCTTCACCACTGTGCTGAATCACTATGGAGCTGCTTCGCACTGAATCAAGTTTTCTTCTTCACTGCACCCCAACTTGGGGATTCCTGTTGGTGTTGAATTGTTGCCAACAACCAGTGGTTCACAAGTTCTTAAGCAGAGGCTCCAAAACCGTAAAAGCTGCAGGTTCCACAAAATCTGCTTTTACCTCCTCCATCAACCAAGTTCAGCAAAGGGACAGGTGGGACCGGACTGTTGTCTCACCTTCCCTTTCGTGGTCCTTACAGCCGCCATTCTTGCAAACCCATTACTATTTTTCTTTCTTTTGAAATTATTAATATTTAAAATGTGCACAGTAGAGCATTTGAGATCTTGCTCCCCGGCATGTGGTCAATCTGGTTCAAATAAATTCTTTTAAAAATTCAAAAAATGTGCACAATAAACAGTGTAACGAGAGTATACACTGCACACCAAGTCACAGCCAACCCCAATTTCAAGACCCAAGCCTCAGTGGAATAATGTCAAAGTGGATCTTTCCAGAAAGTATAGATCTAGATGCTATGGAGAGGAGAGTGGAGGGAGAAAGGGAGAGAAACATCCATGTGAGAGAGGAACATCCGTGGTTGCCTCCTGCATGTGCCCCACCCCAGGACGGTCCTACAACCTGGGTGTGCGCCCCAATGGGGAATCAAACTGGAGACCCCTCACCTCGCAGGATGACGCCGAACCAGCTGCACCACACTGCCCAGGGCTAGGTCCTGTTTTTTATACACCATTCTGTTTAACAAATGTTAACGATCTTTCCATAGAAATTGACTTCACTGTTTTCAATGGCTGCATAGGTTTCATGTATGAAAATTCCTCTGACCATTTGTGGCAGATTTCATCGTGTCCATTAGGCACCACTTCATTGCACCTGTCCTGCAAGGTCCAACCTGGGTTTGCACAAGACTCACACAAGTTGTGAGTTGTTATCTGTTTCGTAGTCTTTCTACTTTTTGATCGTTCATCTAGGATATACCACTCAAAAGGTTAAGTCTAGTAGGTGGACAGGGAGGTTGGCCACCACGTGTCAGGAAATCAGCGGCTGACCTCAAATCAAGCTCTGAGTTCTAAGATTAATGGTGCTCCAGGACCGCCACGTGGGGAGTGAGATGCTCACATTCCCCCTTAAACATCCCCCTCGGAGGTGGGGAAGTTTACCTAACTACAGACGCCCAGCCAGGGTGGGTCACCCACTGCTGGGTTACAAGCTAAAACGAGTCAGCCCTATTTTGTAAGCTGCCAGCCCGACATTGTGCCTAATTTTGTTGAGTCTTGCTTAAATCTTCCAGCCCGGCCGCCGAGGGACTCACTGGACTACAAAGCCAGAACATTATAGAAGAGCAGCGCCATCTGGGGGCCAGCTGTGGTGGAGGCGGCAGTGAGGCTGGGGCGCAACCGACCTGGCAGTAAACTTGGTGGGGGAACACGGAGTTTCTCACCGGCCACCTGCGAGGGTCTGGATTTGATGTCACAAAGGGGGTGGCAGTTTTTCCTGACTCTTCTCTGCCAGCCAGCCCATCACGGCCTGGAACAGAGATTGGGTCTTGAACGCTTGCAGGGGTGTCCAACCTTTTGGTGTCCCTGCTGCCCTGGAAGAGAAAGGGTTATCTTGGGCCACACATTAAATACATTGTTATACGTAATCATTCACACCCCCTCCCCATAATGCTTTAAGTAGATATATGATTTTGTGTTGGGCTGCATTCACAGCTATCTGGACTGCATGTGGCCCGCGGGTCGCAGGTTGGACACCCCCGATTATGGCTCAGTGACTATCCATGTGTGTGTGTGGGGGATGAAGTCACCTATAATGTTCATTGTATGAGGAGCCCCAGTAAGGTTTTTCTACACACCAGGTTTAGGTTACAGTCCTCATTCTGTCCGTTCAGTGCTTTTGTAATTAATTTCCCCTGCAGTGTGCCGCACTGTTTTTTCCGGTCGCTCTCAGGACCAAGTGGGGAGTGCACACGAGCATCAGTGACGCCAGGTACAGATCGCTGCAGGCCTATGGTCTAGAAGACTACAAGTTCCAGAATGCACCGTGGATTAGCGTACGGAGAGGTTGTGGGAGCATTGCCTTCTGGGAATTGTAGTCTTTAACTTGTTTGTTATGCAGGAAACGGGAGGGAGAGAGAGTAAAACGTTACCACGTGACGCTCGGGATCAGGTGGTGGGGCCAGTCTCCGCTCAAGAGCTGTGATTGGTTGATTCTAATACCAACGACGCCACTAGGGGAGGGCCGCAGAGGAGCGCAAGCGTACTGCGTTACTAGTCTCGGGACCCCTTTCCGAGAGACTATGGCGCTCAACAAGAATCACTCGGAGGGCGGCGGAGTGATCGTCAACAACACCGAGAGGTGAAAACACTGCGGAAGGATCCTGCAGGACCGAAGGGAGGGTGTCAGAAGTGTGGACGTTGGGCGGTGGGCTCTGGGGAATAGATCGGCCAAGAGTGGGAACTGATGAGATGCGGTGGGGCGGGAGCCGGGGGCTGGTGGGGGCGGGGCTGGAGGAAGGTGGGTGGGTCTCGGGGGGAGGGGCCGGGATTCACGGTCAGCTGTGGGATGGGGGAGGGGCGGCTGAGCGGAAAGCAAGTGGGGCCTACGGGTAGTTCTCAGCATTTTCCGGAATCGGTGACTGTAGCGATGGGAATGGCCTTAGACTAAAATAACTGCCATTTATTGAACGTTTACTATGTTACTACCGACATGTTACTACGTCAGGCCTGCCCCTCTTTTACCTTTAATATGTAAATGCTGTGGGTTAGATGCTATTATAATACACATTTTATATGTAGGGAAAGTAATAGAGATGTATTCCAGGAAAGGAATCTTTACTCCAAAATCAGTAGCCTTCCAGTATATTCCAGAACTGCTCAGATGAGAAACAGGCCAGAAGTGAGATTAATTAGATAACATTTGTTAAGCATCTGACACATTTCCTGCCACCGCGTCCATCCTTGTAAAGGTCCGTTTTTGCCTCTTTCTCTTGAATACCTGTTGGCTTGGGTAACTGCCTAAAGCAGAGGTCCCCCAACTTCAAGATTCTTTCTACCACCCCCCTAGTTAACTATGCCTCTTCCAACATCCGGGCCCCTTGGCTGGCTTGCCTCTCCCCTTGTTCCTTGGGCATTGAGAGTCAGTCATTGGACATTGAGGAATGCGAGTCCCCAGCGGAGACTTGGGGGGCTCGGAGCCTTGGGGCCGGCTCAGGCCAGCACGCAGCCCAGGGCCTGTCGCCCAGGGCTTGGTGGGTCAGAGGAGCTCGCCAGGAGTCCCCTGACCTGAGAATGCGGGCTTCCCTCCATCTTACCTGCTCAGAGTTTGCCAGGCCATCCTATTCTTGGTCTCTCTGAGTTGTACTTCTCTTTTCTGATACCAGTCCCCATTCCAGCTACCCCGTCCGGTGAAAAATCAGTTGTGATTTTGGGGAGGAGGAGGAAGACAAATGGCACCACGTGAACTTAGACCAGCTTTGTTATCATCAGAGAAACCTCACATCGCCCCCAGTGTGTGGCCTCTGTGTGCCAGCCAGTCCCTGGCCTGGCAAACACTTTTGGTGCCATTTGGTAACATCTCTTGGGACTGTTTTTCTTACTGTTTCAGTGAGACTTTTCTGGGGCAAGAAGAATCTGTCCCATTGGGCCTCCTCTCTGGCTTAGGGCTTGGTGCTGCTAAAGAACGGTGTGTTGTTTCAGAAGGCGCCTCGGCCTCATTTCTGAGCAAAAAGTATATATGGTAATGGAAGTTTAAATTAGCTTTTAATATCTCATGTGTAAAGTAGTCAGCCTTGCTCTTCAAGTTGTGAACCCCTTTGAGAGTGATGATAGCGGTAGGTTTTCCCAGGAAAATGTCCGTGCAGGGCCATCTCGGCTCCAGGGACGGCCAGCCCTGCAGCCCCCGCTCAGGGAACCCGGCTTTGAAGGCACCCTGAAGTCAGCCCTTTCGTAATGTGTAGTCATGCCTTAGACTGTTTGTCTGTTAGGCTTAAAAAACAAACCAACAGAAACAGAACCTGCATCATAAGGGCTCAGAAGAAAATAGGAGAGGTAACGCAGATGCTCTCACTGGGTTGGAGAGCCCTCGGCTCTGCCGTGCTGGCCACGTGGGTCAAATAAGTGGGGTTTGGGGAAATTCTGTAAAACCCCCACTTTCTCATCTCTCCCATGGCTACAGTAATCGTTTCCTTGCAGCAGTGTTGTAACTGTTAAAGAGACCACATGCCGGGAACCCGCTTACCAGGAGGGGCCAGTCCCTGGGATAACAGGTCAGGGCTGCAGACTGTCTCATCGGGGACTTTCTTATCATTGCAGCATCCTCATGTCCTATGACCATGTGGAACTTACATTCAGTGACATGAGGAATGTTCCAGAGGCCTTCAAAGGGACCAAGAAGGGCACCGTCTACCTTACCCCTTACCGGGTGAGTGGCACAGCAGGAGCGCGGTTTGGGAGGCTCGTGGCTCCTGCAGGCTCATGTGAGCTATAGGTCAGCCTCAGCCGCAGCCTTGTGAGTCCGTGGCCTCTGAACCAGGTGCATGTTAGTTCCTCTCTGGGTCTTTCTCTGCCACATGCTCCTGGGTTCTAGAATCACCAGGCAATTTGCACAGCTGAACTGACCGCTGGGCAGTGAATCCATGCAAGTTCCAGAGCTATAGCTGCAAAATCTCTGTGTATCTGGATGCAGCTGCTGGGATGACCTGGGCCTGGGGGGAGGCTGTTATTATTTTGATTTCTCTACTAGTAGCTGACAAGGCCTCTTGCGCATCCAGAGTGACAAATGTGGTAAACAGGAACATAGCCACAGCCTCCAGACTGGGCAGAGAGCCCGGCAAAACCCTGCAGAGCAAGAAATGCCAGACTGCACAATGGTTCTTGCCTGAGGTTGCCCAGGCAGATGCTGAGAGTCTTCTGGAGAAATGCAAATGGATGTTCTGGGAAGAGGATCTGTAGATACCCAAGAGTTGTACTTAAATGATTGGAAAAGGAACATATTTTCAAATATCAGCCACCAGGATTTAGTGGAGGAGGGCGAGGCTCAAAACCCATTTCTGATGGTTCAGGGGGCATCTCCAGTCACTGAAGTTGCGGGCTCGAAAGAGGAGGTTGTCCGAGCGCGGGATGTGAGGCTCTCGCTGTGTGGGCAGTGAGTCCGGGGGAGGGCTGTGACAGCCCTCCTGTCCCGGGATGTGTCCGGCGCTCACGCCCCCGCCATTCCTCCGCTCTTAGTTCCGCTACGCACTGGCTGGCAGGCTCCCTCGCGAACCCTCCCCGCCCCCACCCCGGCTTTGCAGGCCCTTTCACATCCGCCCCCTTCTTGCCTCTGCTTGATAGAGCAGTCGCCCTCACATGCTGTCTGTGAGTGGCCCGGTTTCCTTGTGAATACACACGCCTGGCCTCCCCGTGTAAGGTCTTTGCTTTGCAGAGCTCTCCCCAGGACTGTCCGGAGCAGAGAGAGCTTTGTGGCTGCTGGACCCTGGCTGGTGCTGCCTGCCCGGCGCAGCCGTGTGCGCCTCTCCCACCGGAAGTGATGGCCCGGGGGCGCGGTTGGCCACTGATGGTGCTCGTTTCTCTCCCTGCAGGTCATCTTTCTGTCCAAGGGGAAGGATGCTATGCAGTCCTTCATGATGCCCTTTTATCTGATGAAGGACTGTGAGATCAAGCAACCTGTGTTTGGCGCAAACTACATCAAGGGAACAGTGAAGGCAGAGGCAGGAGGTGGGTGACGAGGCTTCCAGAGAGGAGCTGCAGGGCAGCTCTGCCTGCCACCTTGGAGGGGCCTGCTGGGTCCCTGGTCATCCTAGCCTGTTTCCCTGGCTCTGAATTAGCGTCCAAAACTGACACCTGGACTGCCGGCTGTCCGGCAGAGGTGGGCTTTGGTTGACAAGAACTGGTAAATGCTGACATTAAGGAAGGCAGCTCACCCCACCTCTGCAGAGAGTGACATCAGCAAAATGACTGCAAATGAAATAAAGCTGCTAGTTGTGCCCTGCAGAGGGTGTTCAGATTTTAGGTGTGGGAAGGAACAGCGTCAAGTTCTTGGAAGGGCCTTTCCCTGGAGCCGGGCGGAGCCAGCTGCCCCTCTGATGCCCACGAGGCCCGGCTTGGCGGCAGGCTCTGCCCCTCACCCCCGCCAGCCCCCGGAGCTCCGCACTGTTGTTGCAGAGCTCGCAGTTCCCCTTTGGCAGAAGCCAGGCTGGAGGGACCGGGGACCCATCCCTAGGCCCCCTCAAGGCGAGAGCTGCTCAGGACTTGAATGTCACTGGCTGCTGACTCCCTGCTCTCGAGAAGCTGCGTCATAGTGGTGGGAGGCCCTGTGCAGATGCACTTACAGTGCTGAGTGGGAGGACAAGCTTGTTCTGATAAGGAAAAGCCCCCGGCTCCACGGCAGGCATGGGCAGGAGGTGGGCAGTCCGCGGCATTGGCATGGAGGCAGACGTCGGATGGGGTGGGGGCGCTACCGAGCCAGCCCCTTCCTCACAGGCCTGCAGGTCATTGGACAGGGACTGGGGAGGGCGAAGAGCCCTCTCTTGAGAGTGATCTGTGCTCCTTTCCTGAGCTATGGCTGTGCTGTTCCTTCTCAGGTGGCTGGGAAGGCTCTGCTTCGTACAAGCTGACCTTCGCGGCAGGGGGCGCCATCGAGTTTGGACAGCGGATGCTACAGGTGGCGTCTCAAGGTATCGAGGCTCTAAAACTTCGGGGCTAAGGCGATAGTGTGTGGGTTTTTTGTTCATTTGAGTTTGTTTCCTTTTTGTTTTGTTTTTAAGCACTCAGGAGATTAGTCCCTGGGCCCTGGGCTGACCAGGGCTGGGAGCTGGGAAGGAAGCCTGGGATTAGCATCATTCTGTCCTGTACCTGACAGGCTGGGTCCAGGCAGGGGACATTTTGACGAAGCTGTCTGGACTCAAGGACATTTTACTATGGCCTCATAAGAACAGGATTCCCGACGATGAAGCTCCCTGTAGACAGCCAGCTTGCATCTCCAGGAGATGTGTACAGCAGGCCCCTCCCCTCGGCCCGCCTCGCCCACCCAGCCCTGTTCCTCCTTCAGCTGAGCCATCCCTCCACCCATCCTTGGCCTCCCCAGCTCTAAGCTCTCTCCCCATCCGGACCCCTCGTCTCATACAGACCAAGGCCAACTCAAGTACGGGTGGGGGACAGGATGGAGTGGGATAAGGCTTGTCTGCTGTGTACACCCTGGGGCCCTGCAGGTCCCCTCGCAGGGGCAGGGCCGCCCCTTCCCCAGCCCGAGGCCTGAGATGCTCACTTCTCTCTCCCCTGTACTTGTAGCCTCCCGAGGCGAAGCCCCCACTGGAGCCTATGGGTACTCCTACCTGCCCAGCGGGGCCTATGTCTTTCCCCCGCCAGTCGCCAATGGAATGTACCCCTGCCCTCCTGGCTACCCTTACCCACCGCCCCCACCTGGTGAGTGTGTCCTTTGCTGCCCACCCCTCACCCCACCCACCAACCAGCCCCACCCAGGCCAGGGCGGTGTAGAGGGGAGACTTGTTCTGTGACCTGCCTCAGGACTGACAGAGAAGCTGGAGAGGCTGGGCTGCTCACTGGGCCCCTGTCCCTCTCTTGCCGAGCAGAGTTCTACCCGGGACCTCCCATGATGGACGGGGCCATGGGATATGTGCATCCCCCACCACCGCCCTACCCTGGGCCCATGGAGCCGCCGGTCAGTGCGCCTGATGTCCCCGCCACTCCTGCAGGTGAGGCCCCGCGCTTCCAGCCGTCCTGGGAGCCAGCCCTCTCCCCATGGCTGCACGGAGGGTCTCGGGGGATGGCCAGAGGCTGGCTGGGAGCTCCCCGTGGCGAATGCCCCCTGGCCTAGGGACTGGCCCGAGGGGCTGGCAGGGTGCAAGGCCAGGGCGAAGAGCCGAGGTTCCAGCGTGCTGCCCTTAGCCGCCCTTGTGCCCTGGCCCCAGGAAGTGCCCCTCTGTGCCTCGGCCTTCTCAGCTACCAGCAGGCAGCAACAGCGCCCCTGGCGTGGCTGTGGTGAGCACTAGAGATGACTGGAGAGGACAGGGGAGCCTGTGGTGCTGAGGAGATGATAATGCTGTTTTATCGAGAGAACTAGGTCCTAGCACCGGCTGCCCTGGGCGGTGGCGGGCTGGGTTGCTGGGCCAAGAGCAGCCCCAGGGCGGCTGGAAGAGGAGGGGAGGCTTAGCCCCGGTGTGTCTGCTTTTGCAGCCGAAGCCAAGGCCGCAGAAGCAGCTGCCAGCGCCTATTACGACCCGGGCAACCCACACAACGTCTACATGCCCATGGTGAGCGGGGACACAAACAGGACTTGAGCAGGGTGGCCACAGTTGGTTGGGGTTTGTTTATTTACTAACTTTCAAAAGATTATGTTTATTTTTTAGAGAGGGGACGGAAGGGAGGGAAACATCCATGTGTGGTTGCCTCTCGAGCACCCCCTACTGGGGACCTGGCCTGTAACCCAGGCCTGACCCCTGACTGGGAACCGAATCCGTGACCCTTTGGTTCTCAGGCCAGTGCTCCGTCCACTGAGCCATACCAGCGAGGGCAAGATTTAGGGACTGGGGAGACCTTTACTCCTTTTGAACCTTCTAATGTGAGCTTTCTTCTCTTCCTTCTGTAGAACCAGCCTCCACCACCTCCCTACTACCCCCCGGAAGATAAGAAGACCCAGTAGACCCCTCGCCCCTGCCTCCTGCCTCCCATTGCTCGTCCCTTCCCCTCGCCTCGGGGCCACATCTGGGGAGGGGGTGAATGAAGGGAGGGACGTGCTTTCTCTCCAGGTCTGATTATAAAACACTCAACAGGAACCGGCGTTGACAGAAGGGAGGGGCCCCTGGACTGGAGCTGCGCCTCCAGCTGCCCACACTAGCGCAGAGCCCAGGCGTGCTCTGCACTCCTCCCTCTCAGCCTCTCCGGGGCTCTCCTCGGGAGCGCAGGGTGTCCCCCATGTTCCTGTCTTGTTCCAGAAGCTTCTACCCACTGAGGGACTCTCTGGCCACCTCCTCTGCCGCAGTCCAGCGCTCTCGTTCATCCTCACTTTATCCTCAGCCTCTGGTCCTCCCGAGGGCCTGTCAGCCCAGCTCACACTCCTGCACCCCAGTCCGGGCCCAGCCGTGGGGCCACCTTCTGCCCAATTAGCCTACATTCCACGCCTCGCCAGCCCCCCGCCCCTGTCACACCTGCCTTCCCTGCCCTGTCCCTGGTCATTCTGTGGCCTCCACTGTGTGACTTTGGGAGCTTTAACGGGAGCCTCCAAGGGGGTGGGTAGCGTCAGGGCTAGGCCCTCTGCTCCCCTGCTGGTGTTTGTAGAATTCGTTTCCCTCTGCCTTCTCTCTCTCCCATCTGGAAGGGGCTCCTGGAGCCGGAGAGTGCACATCTGTCCCAGCATGCCACGGGGAGGCTGAGGACCGGCCAGGGGGCGTGCTGCCCACACCTCCCGGCAGCCCCTGTGCCCTCCCCTCTGAGCTTCACGCCTGGGTGGCGCCATGCCCCTGGGTGCACCCCGATGTGCTCTCATTCACTCCTGGACTTGGCGTGAACTGAGGAGATGGTTATTTAAAGAGGCTTCCCTATTTATTTGACCAAAAAAATCCAGTTAATATATTGATGTAAAATAAACCCTGTTTGCACCTTGATTTGTTTGCTGAAAATGTGAAGTAGTAAAAATGAAGTAACTGGACCGTGTCTGGCTCTGTGTGGGACCCCGGTGCGCCCCGGGGAGGAAGCTGTCCGGCTGCGGAGGCCGCGGGAGGCCCGGGGAGACTGCTCCCTGGGCTGCGTGTGAGAGTCCCTTGTTCTCGTGGCCCATTTGGCCCTGGGAAGCTAAGGCCTCTCAAGTCTCCATTCCCTGGCTGTTGCTCAGCAACTGAGCCCACCCACTGGGTCCCCTATGGGCCTGGCACAGCCCCGAACCGCCCTGAGTGGGAGGCCACGGAGGCAGGGCCAGGTTCACCCGTGGCGTCCTGTGCCTTTGGCTGCCATGCTCCTGGAAGGGCGGCCCTGGGCCCCACGTGGCCGGGAGGAACGTGTCCGGGCTGAGAGGGCCAGGCCAGCTCTGCAGGACTCCCTCTCCTGCTGCCCTCCTTGTGCGCCTGGCTGCTCAGGTCGGGGGAGGTTGCAAAGAGCCAAAGTCCGCACCCAGGCCTGTCCATCCCCCCTCCCCACCTCCACCCCCCCCCCGGGCCTGGAGGAAGGCCCTGGGCTCCGGTCTCTGAGCTCAGAGAAAGCCAAGCACCAAGGTGTCTACTTTCCTCTCTCCTGAGCCAAGGTGCCCTGCCAGACTCTCCCTCCTGGCCAGCTCCTCTCAGGAGCTCCAGGGTGGCTGAACGCCCTCCCTACAAGGGCACTTGAAGGGAGCACTCTCCTGGCCGTTGTTGTGGGGGCTGGGGCCGCCGGGCCGTCCATGCCTGGGGCAGCTTGGTCACCTATGTCACCTACGGGGAATGTCACCTGTGGAGTGGAGCAGGCTGAGCATGTGGCCACCTGCCAGAGAGACACCTCTGGAGTCCTTCCCCTGTGCCCTGCCCACGCCCACCCTGGGTCTGGGGCCCATTCAGGGAAATCTGTGGGTGAGAACCCCACCCATTCAGACCTGCTTCCCTTAGCTCCCCCGCAGCTGGGCACAGCAGCACCTGGGATGGGGCGGGGCCGCTGCCGGGCCTGCCCTGACACCCCCTGTGTGGACACTGGACCCTCCCAGAGGCTCCATGGGAGGGTGGGGTGTGGCCGGACCCGCCCACTGCATCCACCTTGGGTGTCCACCTCCCTTCTGCCTCCAGCCAGGGATAGTTCCTCCCAGGATCCCGCCCCTCCGGCCAGTGGGAGCTAGAGAGGCGCAGGGGCCTGCCGGGCCCCGGGAGTGGTGAAACCCCGGCCTGGCCCTCTCCCCCACCCCGCCCCCTTCGCCCCTCCCTGAACCCTTTGCATAATCCTGTGGCTACACTATCTTCACCCAGTGGCAGCGGGCACAGCCAAGGGGAAGGGCAGAGCTGGCCACCATGGCGACACTCTTCTCTCACTCCCAGCGACGTCCACCCCTCTTGCGCCAAGCCATCAAGATAAGGCGCCGCAGGGTCCAAGAGCTGCAAGAGCCCCTGCCCCCAACAGCTCCGGAGGTAGGAGTGACCTCACGGAGGAGAAGCGCTGGCCTGGGTGGGGCTCTGTGGTCTCCGCGCAGCCCCTCCTCTCTCAGGCTGCACCTGAGGGTGTGAGCCCATTCCCTGCCTCCCCTGTCCCCTGGGCAGAGCCTTCTGGGTCAGCAGAACAGGGTCCACGTGTTCTCTGGGCCACCCCGGGGCCTTAGGTCCGGGGCCCAAGCCCCTTCTCTCTGGCGGAGCCGACCCCTGCCCTGCTGCCCTCCTCCAGTGCCAAAGGCACCGGCTCCACTAGGCAGGGAGTGTCCCGGCTGGGACCAGGCCGCTGGGGGACCGGCTGAGAAACCCCCAGGCCTGCTTGCAATGACCCCCCATCTCCCACCTCCGCTGCTGGGCCTCACTTCCGCCGCTGGGGCGCGAGCGAGCGTGGCCGCCCGATAAGCAGCGCTGCTTCCTCTGGGGAAGGAAAGGAGGTGGGGGCCCTGGGTGCCGAGAGCTGGCACTGCGACGGGAGCTGAGAGCCAATGGACCTCAGCCAGCGCAGGCCGGGGGACGAGGGAGGCGACCCAGGGGACGAGGAAGGCGACCCAGGGGCCGGGCCCCCAGGAGACCTGCCGTGGGAACAGGTGTGCGGGCTGGCGGGGTTGGTGGCTGCGGCCCCGCGGCCCTGGGCCTGCTTTGCGGGGAGCCGTGCCTGCTGTCCAGGCCTCCCGGGCCTGCCAGACACTTTGTCTTTTCACCTTACTCCCCAGATCGAGCCTCCATCACACCACTTCTCCCCTGAGGAGGTAAGAATCGGGGAGCTGGGGGGAAGTAGGGGGGAGCCAAGGCTGAGCGCAGCAGCCCGCTCCCCGCCCCGCCTCTGTGGGCGCTTTGTCCCTGCTCTGGGCATGCGGTGCTGGTGCCCGGGGGCTGGCGGGGCTCAGACCTCGTGGGGCGTGGACGAGGGTCCTGAGGAGACCTGTGTCTCAGCGGGCCCTGCTCTACGAGGAAGCCCTCTACACTGTCCTGCACTGCCTGGGCAAGCCGGAGCCCAACCACGTGAAGGAGGCCTCGGAGCTGCTGCGGTACCTGCAGGAGGTGAGCCCAGCGCCCTGCCCCCCCCGCCCCCCCCCCCGTAACCCGGCCTCTGGAGCCCCCTGCCCCCCGGCCCTACCATACTCCCTGGCCCATGCCCCAAGCCTCCCACGCCCCTGTCTCACCAGGCCTTCTGCATGGAGCCCAAGGAGCACCAGCAGATGCTACAGCAGGTCCAGGAGCTTGAGGTAACACCAGTCCAGAGCCACCTGGGCAAGGATGGGGGCTGGAGAGCCCCACTCCCTCTGGGACTCAGGTGCCCCCTCCTCTCTCTCCAGAAGCCCACATTTTGTCTGAAGGCGACAGTGAAACAAGCCAAGGGCATCCTGGGCAAGGACGTCAGCGGTGAGCAGGCAGGGCGGGCTTCTTCCTCCCCCATCACCGGCTGTCCTGGGACTCTCCCAAAGTCCCCCCACCCTGGGGCCGCCCCGCCCGGTGCGCTGATGTCTCCTTGGCCTTGGAGTTTAGGGCGTGGAGGGGCTCTGCCCTTGGGGTGGGGAATGGGGGATGAAGGACCCTCCCAAGGAGCCCAGCCAACGCCCTGGCAGCCTTGTCCCCTCGTGCTCCCCAGGGTTCAGTGACCCCTACTGCCTGCTGGGCATCGAGCAGGGAGCGGGCACGCTGGGGGACAGCCTGGGGCCGCGGCGGCCGCAGAAGGCAGTGGTGCGGCACACCATCCCCGAGGAGAAGACCCACCGGACCCAGGTCATCACCCAGACGCTCAACCCCGTCTGGGACGAGACCTTCATCCTGTAGGTCCCCCGGCCTGGCCCCTGCCCTGTCTGGGGCTACTCCCTGGGGTAGAGGTCCCCCAGTCAGGGAGATCAGCGGGACTTCCTGGCTCAGAGGGAGCGGCCTGGCTTGACCGGAGGGGGAGCCTGTTCCCGGGGAGGCAGAGGAGGCAGGGGAAACAGACAGGACTGCGTGGTGGCATTAAGGCCCCATGAGGTAGCGGGTGTGGAGAGTCAGACTCTGGGCTGACCCAGGGGCAGCCTGGAGCCTTCTTCCCTTAATGAGAGGGGAATGCGGCGGTGGGGCAGGCAGAATTTGCAGGAAGGGGCTCAGACTTCACAGTGGGTGGACCTGCTGGGGACACAGCCCCGGCAGACAGGCCCTGTGCCGAGGGGCCAGCCCTCCAAGGCCCTCAACTGTGCCCTCTTCTCCCTGCAGGGAGTTTGACGACATAAGCAACTCGAGCTTTCACCTGGACATGTGGTGAGGAACACACCCTGCTGTGAGGGTGGGGATGCGAGGGGTCAGGGGCTCCCAGGCTGCCCCCGCGGCCTCTGGCTCAAACCTCTGCCCTCCAGGGACCTGGACACCGTGGAGTCTGTCCGGCAGAAGCTCGGGGAGCTTACAGATCTGCACGGGCTGCGAAGGTGAGGGTGCGAGGTTCCCTGGGAAGGCGTGGGGCTCCCTCTGCCCTCCGCCCACATGCGCAGGTTGCTGGGCTGCAGGCTCTGTTCTGGGTCCCGCGGCCGCAGGTGGTGGGGGCGGATGCCACCCTGGCCCGCCCAGGTTCTTGGCCCGTGTCCCTCATGTACCCTGCCTGGGACAGGATCTTCAAGGAGGCCCGGAAGGACAAAGGCCAGGACGACTTTCTGGGGAATGTGGTTCTGAGGCTGCAGGTGAGTGGGGTGGGTGGGGGAAGAGGCCCAGGGGAGAGGCGGCAGGGGTTTGTGAGGGGTTCGGGGGAGGGGCTCCGGGCCTGCACCGAGCTCAGGCCTGCCTGCCGTTGCCTCCCTGTACCCACTCACGGGCACGGGCGTCCCTCACCGCCTGGCCTGCCAGGACCTGCGCTGCCGGGAGGACCAGTGGTACCCTCTGGAGCCGTGCACTGAGACCTACCCAGACCGTGGTCAGTGCCACCTCCAGTTCCAGTTCATTCACAAGCGGGTAGGTCTGGGACCAGGGCCGGCGGCCTCCCGGTGGCCCGGCTGGGTCGGGCGGGCCACTCTGGGCGTGGGCCGCTCCACTCACAGCCGCCCCGAACCTCCTGCAGAGAGCCACTGCCGCCAGCCACTCCCAGGCCAGCTACACGGTGCACCTCCACCTGCTGCAGCAGTTCGTGTCCCACGAGGTCACCCAGCACCAGGTACTGCCCTCCCAGGGCTGGGCTGGGCCACGGTCTGCCTGCCGGGCCCTGACGCCCCTCCGCCTGTCCCCTCAGGCCGGCAGCACCTCCTGGGACGGGTCGCTGAGTCCCCAGGCTGCCACCATCCTGTTTCTCCATGCCACACAGAAGGACCTGTCTGACTTCCACCAGTCCATGGCGTGAGTGCGCCCCCGCCCCTCCTGCCTGCCCCCCAATGGGCTGGCAGCCCGCCCGGAGTCCAACCCTCCTGAGGTTTCTGCTTGGCCCAAACTGTATGTTTTCAGTTTTGAGTCAGTTGCCAACTTGTAGCAATCCGGACATTCCCCCTCCAGCTCCCCCGGGGAAACGACAGTGCTGATGTCACAGGGCTGTCACTTTGCTGGGCTGCAGCTGGTCAGAGCAGAGTAG